AAAATATGAAAAATTTTAAATGTAATTATATATGAAATTTTAGCTCCTAATTTATAACCTAAACGGTACAATGTTTGTTCCAAACACCCAAGACGTTTACGCTAATTAATTATTCAAACCTCTGAGTAATGATGTCACTAGATGTCACTCGAAGCATTTGTTTCTGGACTATCTTATATTACTTCTGCCCAGTGACAAGTGTACAAAAAGCTTGCCTCAGTGTTAAGGCGCTTAATTTTGAAGATAGAATGTATATCCAATTCTATTGTATGGGCCCAATCCCCTTAAAAAAACGTCCATTTCGACCCTCATTATTAGGCTTAATGGTGACGTAGGAAACTATTTCCAAAGTTCATAAAGTAAGGTTTAACGCTCATAAGTAAGCCTAATGCTGGTGTGTGTGAAACTATTTTCACAGTCCAAAAAGTCAGGTTTGACCTTCGCTATTAGGCTTAATGGTGACGTACGGAAACTATTCCCACAATTCAGAAAATCGGACTCGACAGATTATTAGGCCTAATGCTGGTGTAATCAGTGCTCCAGATAAAATATGCAGTACAGCTGCAAAAATAAGCACTTTCTAACCACCAGAAGTTTCTATTGTTGCACTCGTGAATGATCCAATTTTGTGTAAAATAAAATAAAAAGTTGTAATGTCATTATTTGTGTTTATTATGACTATATCTAGTGATTTAATTTTCTAATTTAATCCTGTGTCAAATTTCACATTTTGAAATAACAAAATAATTCCTAATTACTTATTATTACTTTTTATTACAAAATGTTACAAAATTATTATTATTTTTTTTAAGTTTTAGGCTTAACGGAATTATTATTATTTTTTTTAAGTTTTAGGCTTAACGGACACGACCTGCAACTCTTTACACAGTTCAGAAAGTAAAATTTTAGGCTTAATCCTGGCGTACTGAAACTCTTGTTGTGATTTAACAGGTCTGTTTTCTGAAGCCCCCACCCCACCCTGCTGTCTCAACGGTAAATCTGTGGGCTTATAAAATCGGGTTTCGATACCCGCGGTGAGCAGAATACAGACAGCCCATTGCGTGGCTTTGCGCTTAACAACAAACAAACAAATTATTTCCTTACAATATATTTTGAGTATTTAATATTTTAATAAACTTCAAATGCTTTCGAATGATCTGTTAAACAACATTGATAACTTATACATGCATTTTGTAAGCAAATGAGTCGTTGGCGAAGAATAACAGCGCCCTCTGAAAGACTTTCGGATATCTGATATATATTAATGGAACATTATCTATGAAACATAAACACATTGTACACGTACAACTATGTGAGAGATCATAAGTATCCACTGATAACCCGCCCGTGTTTGGTAAACATGGTTTTCCAGTATCGCTTAGTAAACGTTATCAAATAATTATGTTGTAAAATTCTTATCATTGTTCACTGTACATGGTGCGTTACGTCTGTTACATTCAGATATATCTTTATTTGTTTTAGAATTTTTAGCTCAAAGCTACACAAAGTTTTATTTGCCCTAATATTGTCTGACCGAATATCCACGGCTCCGAACAGTTTAGAGCGAACCATGAACCCTCGGATTTACAGTCCGATCGCACTAACTACGAGGCCACGCGCGGACGACAAATGTTGTACATATACAATACAAACAAATTATAACAAGTACGATTACATTAAAACCTCAACCTGAATAAACTTGAATGTGTTTTATCAAGTAACAAACATAATATATTATTAATAAATTTTTAAAATGTTCAACAGATGGCAGCACCTATGTGTATGTTTGCTAAATTTCTAGCAAAGCTTCTCGAGGGCTATCTGTTCTAACCACCTCTAACTTACAAGTGTTAAGCCAGAAGGAAGGCAGCTACTCAACACCACCCACTACAAACGGGTTTTACTAATTGACTAATGGATTTAACCATCGCTTATAACGTCCCCCAGCTGAAAAGGGGAAGCATGTTTGATGATTTAGCTACTTAAAAATTCGACAATAATTCGTTATAATGTAACATATTTGTTTATTTTTGAAGTGTCAGCCTATTTAACGTAGATGTTGATACACGGGGTATTTAAAATTTTAAGGATTTTAAAACCTTTAATATTCCAACGTGGCGTATACTCGTTTTGTAATATTTGATGTTGAATTATTCTATGTTTTTAACTATCTCATTTTGCCAAATCATTTTTGAACACTCATCGATTAGAAGTGCTTGAACAAGATTATACATACAGACGGCTCAATGGTAAGTCCAAAGACTTATAACGTTAAAAATCGGGGTTTGATACCCGTGGTGGGCAAAACACAGATAGTTCATTGTATAACTTTGCGCTTAACAACAAACAAATAAAACGAAAATTCGGGGCTCAATTCCCCGCAGTAGACAGAGCGCAGATAGCCCATTGTGTAGCTTTTTTCGGTTCCCCTCGGTGGACAGTGCGCAGACGGTCGTTGTGTAGCTGTGAGCCATAAAAACCAACAACTACATTAGTTAGCATGATTACAGACGGTGAAGCTAAAAGCGGCTTCATAATTGTGGGTTGAAGAACAGCAGCGCCACCACCTACTCAAACATTAAGTTAAGAATAGATCAATTAAAATGAGAACAAGAGTCACACACGTGGATTTACGTCAACACTACTTTTTTGGAAGTTGGTTGACGAATAGTTAATGACACACTTAATGGGAAGCTTTCTACTGTCGATCTCGTCTCTCTTCTAAATTGACGATAAATGATCTTTTAGTGCGTGTTTACGAAGTTAATTATCCACAAAGCCCACTGCCCTACATTCGAAGTTCAGAGGATAAGACTTCACGCAAACATACTCACAATACAGACGACAAGCATCGATGATTTGATAATTAACCTAAAAATACGTAATTATAAAGATAGAGGACGCTACAACAATATATCCTAAACTGACGAACCATTTTTTTTTAAATCTAAACTTAAGAAAAATAAATAAACGTTAAAATCTCGTTTGTTCTAAATAAGTGTTGCATAAACATAAAAAAAAAACGGTTCTAGTCCGAAAACCATAAATTAAGAATTTCTCCATTTTTCTAAGCCTTAAAGAAGTTGGTAAGTGTAGCATGTACGGTTTGTTTGTTGATTAGGCCTAATTATTTCAGGATGTTTTTTTTTTTTTTTTTCACTAAATCGTCTTCTCAACATATCACTCAACCGCAAGATTTCACTAATAATTTTTTGTTTGAACTGCTAGTTACGGTCATCCTGTTCACCGTTTTTATATCAACGAATGTTGTTGTTGTTGTTTGGTTGCGTACTAGTTCTACTTTCTTGAATATTTTCTGGTTCTATTAACGTGGAGATGCGTAGTTTCCGGCTCATTAGTGCTAACCTGGTCGTTTACCTCGTTCACTTCCTGTCCAATCAACCCGTTTAGAGATTTTTGATTAACGCTGCGCAAGGATACACCCGTCTTTTAATATCGATATGTTTGTAAAACTGTTTGTAAACGCATCGAATGTGATGTTTTGTAAAAAAAAAAAAAAATGAAATTAAAAGGTGTGTGCAGGCAACAGAGTGCTTTCTGTGTAGGGTTAAGGTGTGTGCAGGCAACAGAGTGCTTTCTGTGTAGGGTTAAGGTGTGTGCAGGCAACAGAGTGCTTTCTGTGTAGGGTTAGGTGGAATGTCTTGTTCTTTTTTGTTCAGGGAATACGCTGCCGTTTTTGCTACATCCGGTAGAACGCGGTAGCAACGAAACGCTGTTGTTGTCATGGTAGCGACGAAACGCTGTTGTCCAATTTTGTTTGTTCAATAAAACTTGATGTCGAATCAAAATTACGTTTTGTCCTCGAGAAACCAGTGCAATGCACCACTGTTAAAATAAAAAAACCGACTGACAACTAGAAAACAAGACACAGGCAGGGTGTAATTGTGTCGTATATATGACACAAAAAGGGTAATAATGGTTAAAACTATGGGGGGAAAAAACATGAACTTTGACATCGTCATAGATAAAGGCACCAAGGTCAGAAAGGAATAGCTTTTCGGAAGCATCAAAAGTTGAAATTTGATTTTAAAGATCCAGTACTTACATAACTACAGCATTGAATCTGATACATACTCATTGCAGAAGAAATAAATACTGTCTGACACAGTAAAACGGTTCAGAACTAACAAGACCAAGAGACTGTAACCACACCTTATCGTATTGTGTGTTTTAAAGAATAACTAAAGCAAAACTCAGCTTTAATGTGTTCGAGTGTGTGGAATGAACTTACGCGATGTCATTAGTACCAACTAAAAGTTTCATTGTTTAAAAGTCAGACTTCTACACCCAAAAACATTGTTTAAAAGTCAGACTTCTACACCCAAAAACATTGTTTAAAAGTCAGACTTCTACACCCAAAAACATTGTTTAAAAGTCAGACTTCTACACCCAAAAACATTGTTTAAAAATCAGACTTCTACACCCAAAAACATTGTTTAAAATCAGACTTCTACACCCAAAAACATTTTTAAAAAGTCAGACTTCTACACCCAAAAACATTGTTTAAAAGTCAGACTTCTACACCCAAAAATATTGTTCAAAAAATTATATGATAATCATTTGCAATAGTACTTTAAAATATAAGCCTGACATGGTCTGGTGGTTGGGGCGCTCGACACGCAATCTGTAAGTTGTGGATTCGAATCCCCATTACTGAAAATAGTCGTCCTTTCAGCCGTATGGGCGTTATAATGTGACGGCCAATCCCACTGGTAAAAGAATAGCCCAAGAGTTGGCGGTGGGTAGTGTTGACAAGCTGCCTTCTCTCTAGCCTATCACTGCTAAATTAGGAACGGCTATCGCAGTAGCTTTGCGTGAAATTCAAAAACAAACAAACTTATAAATATATATATTAAAGAAATTGTATTATTATCGTATGCTGTATTAATTAAATTGTATTATTATCGTTTGAAATATTGTTTTTAGTGTTAGTTCTTTTTTTTTGCGATATTTTCTTTTCAAAGTTAAGAAAAACAAACCTGTTGATTCTTCTGACAAATCACTCATTGATGGCACCTTCTGTATCGAATCATATGCTCTAGATGGCGCTGGTGGTTCGCCGCAGTCATTATTTACAACGTTGGTTTTATACAGAACATCGAAGCGGCTCATCACATTAGAATCTTGATAGCCATAGACACATTCAACTTTGATCTGAAACATAAAATATGGAAATAACAGTATTCATTATTTTTAACACGTTCATCAAGCAAATACTTCAAACAAAATGACTCTGGATTCAGGGATCCCATCACAACATTAAAAATAAAAAAAAGAGCGAACTTTCTCGTCGTTTACTATCACTGAAAGTCCTAGCAAGTTTCCTCTTGAAATGAATTTCAGTATGAACGTCCTTAGCTCGGACAACCTTATCAAATCTATTTTACTTCAAAAGAAAATGCACAAACAATTCAGATAAGGAACAGCGCCAACAATCAGACTGTGAGTACTTAGCGTACTAGATTGCTTCTCTGGTCACGTGATTTCAGCTGAACAAATACATAACAATAATAGGCCTTATTAGGATCTGCTGCTTCTAACATGTTTGATTAAATAACAGGTGGTCAAGAGCGCCCTCTGTATTGCAAACTCCCCACCCAAGAAAAAAGAGACGTCATTCACATTTCATAATATATATTTTCATTGTAATAAAGGACTTTACAAACGATACGAAACACCTCTCAAAGACAATATTAGTCCAATTGGAACGTCTAAATGTTAATGAATTAAGCATCTTTAAGCTAAACTACTTAATAGTTAAGCCTAGTATCATAACTTAAACACATAGAGACGAGGAATTGTAGTGAAAAGAACAACAGAACATCAAAGTTGAAAATACTGTTGAGTGTATACAATTTAAGATAGAGAAGTGTACTCGATGGTTACAAAAGATGAAATAATGAACAGGAAACGGTAACACTCGAAAGTAGTTGAAGCGTTAAAAGGTAGCTGTCAAGGTCGGTCGTTTCTCACCCCTATATAAACCAGACACTACGATAAAATAAGGAGATACATGGCAATTGTTCTGTACCGCCAGGGGGCGATCATGGCGTGGGAAAGTTGTATTAGTCCTGAAGTGTGACCGCTAAAGCCAACGCCGACCACATGGTGTTCGAACTTGGTATAATATCCAATTTCGACAAGTAATACAGTAATCTCTTCGTACAGAAAGCTGTAAATATCAAATCAAAATTGTAACGAGAGTGAACCAAATGTTTCATGAATTGCGTATGTGTTTCAATAGATGTTTCTTGATAGAAATTTGTTTATTGTATCAATAGATACACGTTGATATATCTATACAGAAAATCTGCATTTTTTCGTTGACTATTTACCTTTAAATTCGTTTCATTGAGAGATCCCGCGTGAATGTTACTTTGTAATGAATTATAACTTGTAACTAAAGATAATTACTTGCTATTATTTTTAAAGGAATTGTTTAAGAATCGGTTTCTTGGCAACTCCAACAGAGAATAAAAATGACAACTCGACTTCTCAACTATCATTTCGATCGGTAAATGGCCCATCTGTCACCACTTGACAACTCGTCTTGTCAACTAGATTTTTGATTGGTTACCGAGTTGCTAGAAAGCTGAGGGGTTTTTTTTTTTGTCTGCGTTCCTGCGCTTGTTCATCCTCCGATTATATTAAATTTTCTAATTATCTGATTTTACTCTTAATTTAATTTTGTCAAATGAGAAGTGTGGCTACAGACAAGTGGGTACGCGAAGAAACTTTGCAATTGGTCGATTTGTTTGTTTCATGTTTCTGGGATGTTAAATGTGCGGAGGATAAACACTGCAACAACAACAACAAAAAACTGAAACATGTTTGCTACAAAAGGCGCCATCTTAAAATGACTTAAAATAATTGTCAATTTTCCCAGTGTGCGTGTGACACGTTCGGAATTCGCAGTGTCTTTGTCAGTGTTTTGTCGCCATGCCAACTAGTAGGATGGACAAGAAAAAGTTATCATAAGATGCACCAAGACAACTGACTGATTATTGATTTTCAAAATATGATCCAATTTCGCTAACCTTCAAATGACCGGTAGGCAGTGGCGGACTCCCTCTACCGGGAGCTTGGGAAATGTCCCGGTGGCCCGTTGCTCTCATGGGCAAGTGAAACTGGAATATGCCTCACAAAGTTGGGCTTCCACTTACAGCCCGAGCAACGTAACTATGGTTACATAACTGGTAATTCTGAGGAGATTGATTTATGCGTGCGCAATGATGAATTATAGGCGCGCGCAGGTAATCGACGTTAGTCATGTCGGTTTTGTTGGTCATTAATTCTAATAACTTATCAGAAAAAAGTGAAGAAAATATACATACATGTATGTCAACCACACTGTATCTGTCATAGCCATCATAGCCCGGCTGGAATGGCAGTGATTGGTCAGTTGAACTGGGCCTAATCAGTTGAATACGTGCTGCTGGTAATTGATATTTAATCTTAGGGTTGAACTAGGCCTAATGAATTGAATACGTTCTGCTATTGCTTCATATTTAATCTTGGGGTTTAATTAGGCCTAGTGAGGGGAATAAGTTCTGGTGATATTTGATATTTAATCTTAGGGTTGAACTAGGCCTGGTGAATGGAATACGTTCTACTGGTACTTTATATTTAATATTGGGATTGAACTAGGCCTGGTGAATGGAATACGTTCTACTGGTACTTTATATTTAATATTGGGATTGAACTAGGCCTGGTGAATGGAATACGTTCTACTGGTACTTGATATTTAATCTTGAGGTAGGTAATTTTCAAGCATCACTGTTTTTTTAAAACGTCCCCAACTGGCTATGCATTATTGATATATATAAATATATATTTATAACCTGTAGATAAAACATTCATCTTATTGTGATGTGAACAATGACTTAATAACCTAATAAAGAACTATTTAATGCTGCAACACGCTAGAATATCAATTACTGCGTGAAAAATTACAAAAGCGATTGGTTAAAATTTGTTTTTTTTTTTTTTCAATTTTCGACATTTTTATCTTTCGTTTCAGTTTTTCAGTTTCTGCCATTGCCATTCTCATGGCCGCCAGGTGGTTAGGGGGCGCTTGACTCGCAATCTGACGGTCGCGGGTTCGAATCCCCGTCCCACCAAACATGCTCGTCCTTTCAGCTGTGGGGGCGTTATAATGTGACGGTCAATCCCACTATTCGTTGGTAAAAGAGTAGCCCAAGAGTTGGCAGTGGGTGGTGATGACTAGCTGCCTTCCCTCTAGTCTTTCACTGCTAAATTAGGGACGGCTAGCGCAGATAGCCCTCGTATAGCTTTGCACGAAATTCAAAACAAACCAAAACAAATATGGCAGTTAGGTTTAGATACAAATAGTAATTGACATCAGTGGTAGTAGAAAGATACTACTAACTCTTCTAAGCATTTAAGTGTTTCTAGGAATTTTTTTTTTTTTTTTT